AGATTCCATGCCCTTCCTGGATGCACCACTCCCTAGGAACGTCCATGTGCTCAGCTGTCTGGAAGATCCCCAAAGAAACCTGGCCTCTTGTTTTGTTTTTTTTTTTTGAGACGGAGTTTCGCTCTTGTTACCCAGGCTGGAGTGCAATGGCGCGATCTTGGCTCACTGCAACCTCCACCTCCTGGGTTCAGGCAATTCTCCTGCCTCAGCCTCCTGAGTAGCTGGGATTACAGGCATGTGCCATCATGCCCAGCTAATTTTTTGTATTTTTAGTAGAGATGGGGTTTCACCATGTTGGCCAGGATGGTCTTGATCTCTTGACCTCGTGATTCACCCGCCTCGGCCTCCTGAAGTGCTGGGATTACAGGCTTGAGCCACTGTGCCCGGCTGGGTTTTATGGAAGCTTCATGACATCAGCTTTCCTTCCCCCAGGGTATAGGGCAGGTCCCTCTCTGGGGAGGTCTCAAGACCCATAATCAGAAAGGTGGGGAAGATTAGTCCTGCCTTGGGGAAGCACAGTGACTTAAAACAACACAAATTCATTATTTCGCAGCTCTGGGGACCAGCTTCACTGAGCAAAAGTCCACGCATCTACGGGGCTTCCTTCTGGAACTTCTAGGGAGAATCTGTTTTTTGGACCCCTTTTTTGAATCCTTCCAACATCTTGCTTCCATTATCACACTGCCTACTATCTCTCTGGGACCAGATCCAGATCTTCCTCTGCCTCAATCTGTCTTTTTTTGTTGTTGTTGTTCCTGAGACAGAGTCTTGCTCTGTCTCCCAGGCTGGAGTGCAGTGGTGTGATCTCAGCTCACTGCAACCTCTGCCTTCCAGGTTCAAGCAATTCTCCTGCCTCAGCTGCCCGAATAGCTGGGACTACAGGTGCCTGCCACCGCACCTGGCTAATTTTTGTATTTTTTGTAGAGATGGAGTTTCACCATATCGGCCAGGATGGTTTCGAATTCCTGACCTTGTGATCCACCTGCCTCGGCCTCCCAAAGTGCTGGGATTACAGGCATGAGCCACTGCGCCCAGCCACCTCTCTCCTATAAGGACACTTACCATCACAGTCAGGGCCGGCCTGGATAGTCCAGGTGGCTTTTCAAGCTCCTTACCTTCATCACACCTGCACAGACCCTTTTGCCATCTGAGGCTCCATTCACAGTTTACAGGGATCAGGATGTGGGAATCTTTCCACAGGAGCCCTCTTGCTACTGTTCTTTCATTTCTTAACCCCATCTTTTTTTTTTCCAAACACAGAATGTACATAGATTTCACTTCTGTCTGGGGGTTTTAAAAGAGGCCAGAAACAAGGTCTGCAGGGCAAGGAGAGATGTGTTGAAGGGCTTGTCTAATCAGCTCCCAGCGGCCATAGCAACAGGCATGAAAACATTCAAGTGGAAGGGACCTGGGAGTGGAGGGAAAGGCAGGGAAGTATCCTGCCCCAGAGGGGTCCATGCCACCTTGGCCAGGTGACTTACCCTGTGGAGTGACGTGTGATGGAGAAGCCTAAACCGTAGATACGGTGGTTCTGTAGCAAGCTTTGCAAAGCTTCACTGTAGCTCCAGGGAACAGGATCTCTAGATGCCTTCTAATTCCTGTGCCTCCTGTGGTCTTTCTCCGGGCTAATAGCGGTGTGTCTTGAGTAGAATACAAATGCCATATCTAGAAGAGTTTGATCTGGGGGGAGGAGGGAGAGTTAGACCCTGCTTATGGCCTAACCTCGTTTCCCTCCCCTGTGTGGATTCCCTCATTCCCCCTCCACACCCCTCTTGGCTGGGCCAGCCCTGTTGGGACGAGAGTCTGGGGTGTTGTATGTTTTGCTTTTTATTTTATTTTGCAAATGCCTCACAGCATTCCCCTCTGTGTTTAATGTCCCATTGCCAAGTGCATGCAGTTGCCCAGCAACACGAAGGAAGTCCCTGTGTGATTCACCCGGCTGTTGCCAATTAATTTGCGAGCTGCATGCATCTCCCAGGGGAAAAGGGCTCTCTCCGAGACAGCTCAGAGGGCCGCTGCTACCCAGGCAGAGAAAGGAAACCAGAGAACGGTTAGCAGAACTTTGGGTTTCTGTGGGTGTTTTCAATTCCAGATGAAAGGGCGTGTCCAGGGAACCCTGGCAACACCTGGGCAGAGACTCCTGGCTTCCTTCTCAGCCACCAATCAGAGAGCTGTCCAGAGCGCACAGATGCTTCTGTGTCTGCCCATTGGTTGTCTTTTTGTTTTTTTATTCTTTTAGTTTTTAGTTGACTCTGAAATGCAGACTCTCCTGTCCCAGTTCCTCTGCAGAGAAACGTCTTGAACCATCTTCCTCCTCGTCAGCCCCCTCCCAGGCTCTCATCGTGACTGTGTGGGGAAAACTCTTTCCAACCATGCTTTTCCTCTGCTCTCACACTGCAACAGTCAACACGGAATATGTCGGTGACCGAATGTGTGCAGGGTTCTCCCTGATACCAATTCAATTCTGATACCATCTACCTGGAGATAGCATCAGGTCCCATGGGTTGAGGGCTCAGCACCCAAGACTGCCCCCGCTTCCCCAGACACCAGTTGCCAGTCTGGGCCTCTGGAACTTCTCACAGACCACCTTCAAGTTGGGGTTCCCATGACTCCCCTCTTTGGGTTCTATTAATTTGCTGGAGCAGCTCACAGAACTCAGGGAAACTCATTTAGTGGTGTAATCTAAAGGCTGTTACAAAGGATACAGGTGAGTAGATGCGTAGGGTGAGGTGTGGGGGAAGGGGCGTAGGGATTCTCTGTCCTCCCTGGATGTTCCACCCTCTGGGAACCTCCATGTGCTCAGCTATCTGGAAGGACCCTGAAGAACCTTGTCTTCTTGGGGTTTTATGGAAGCTTCATGACGTCTGTATTCCTTCCCCAAAGTATAGGGCAGATTCCTCTCTGGGGAGGGTCTCAAGACCCATAGTCAGAAAAGTGAGGAGGATTAGAGTCCCTGCCTTGGGGCAGGTGAAAGGAGGGCAGGAGGGGAATTCTGTTTCCTGAGGCCCAAAGCACCTAGCATTATAGCAAAAGACTGTAACAAGGGCTGTCGGAGTTATGAGCTAGGAACTTTGGATGAAAACCTGTGTGTGTGTGTGTGTGTGTGTGTGTGTTGTGTGTGTGCACGCATGCACGCACGCATGTGTATGTAATGACACCACAGTGTCGTCTCATCTCTGGCCACTAGCGCCCTTCTCTCTGCGTTTCATGGCCTCTGCATACATCTGCCAGAGCCTCAGCTAGAGCCCTCATGAAGGAGAGTTCCTTTGCACCAGGTTGAGTGGGGCCTCCAGGTCTTTTGAGGGACAGAAGGGGGCCTGTTGGTTTCTGAATGCCTCCAGAATCCCCGGTGCATTTCCCTCAAGGCCTTGCTGTCTTCTGGCCCTATGCTTGCCTAAGGAAACCTTTGATCCATGTTATGTCTTTTGCCTGTCTGGTTGAATTCTATATCCACAGCATCTAATCCAATATGGTACTTGTGAATGCATGGGTTTGTGGTTGCCTAGGTTGACAGTGATGGCTAGAATCAGAGACCCAGAGGACAGCCTCTTTGGTAAGGCCTGTGTTATCTGTATCTGTGAATGGGCCTGATAAGGTTTGGCTCTGTGTCCCTACCAGAATCTCAATCTGGTATGCGTTTTAATCCGCATAATCCCTAGGTGTGGAGGGAAGAATCTGGTGAGAGGTGATTAGATCATGGGGGCAGTTCCCCCACGCCATTCTCGTGATAGCCAGCGAGTTATCTCGAGATCTGATGGTTTTATAAGTGTCTGGCATTTCCCCTGCTTGCTCTTCCTTCTCCTTGCGCCATGTGAGGAAGGTCTTTGCTCTCTCTTTGCCTTCTGCCATGACTGTAACTTTCCTGAGGCCTCCCACTGCATGTGGAACTGAGAGTCAATGAAATCTCTCTCCTTTGTAAATTACCCAGTCTCAGGCATTTCTTTTTTTTTTTTTTTTTTTTTTTAGACGGAGTTTCGCTCTTGTTGCCCAGGCTGGAGTGCAATGGCGCGATCTCGGCTCACCGCAACCTCCGCCTCCTGGGTTCAGGCAATTCTCCTGCCTCAGCCTCCTGAGTAGCTGGGATTACAGGCATGCGCCACCATGCCCAGCTAATTTTTTGTATTTTTAGTAGAGACGGGGTTTCACCATGTTGACCAGGATGGTCTCGATCTCTTGACCTCGTGATCCACCCGCCTCGGCCTCCCAAAGTGCTGGGATTACAGGCTTGAGCCACTGCGCCCGGCCCTAAGGCATTTCTTTATAGCAGCATGAAAACAGACTAATACAAGGCCCCTTACTTGTACTGCTGAGATTCATCAGTTTTAAAATAGGGCAGTCTCCTGAGGGCATTTGGTGCTATTCAATATATTTGTTACTCAGTAATGGAAGGTAATGTCGCGAGGTGAAAATCAAGGAAAGTATCGTGAGTCTAAGTCCATCTTAATTTATTTGCTATCAGAATTAGGGAAAAGTAAATATATTTAATGGTGTCTTCCCATTTTCTCTGAGCCATCCACTCTGGGTAAGTTCCTAATTCATTGTTAAGGGTGTTTCAGGAACAGAGAGAAGTTCCTAGTAAATCCTCAACATTAGGATTAGAAACCAGAGCCCTGCTATTCTGTAGCAAGAACACTGGCACGCTCTGTGTCTCACCTTTCCGCTATAAAGTAGATCTACCACCCCTGAGCTCCCTGCCCCATAAATCACAGAATTTTCCACTTCCTCTGGACTGGCCATGCTCAGTGGCATTTAAAAAAATCAGCTCTGGGTATCGTGGTGGGATTTGTGTAAGAGGGTTCCTGGTGATGATTCAGTGGATGGATAGTTCCTTGAGAGGTATAAATAAGCTTTTTTTCCCCCTACTTAGCTAAAATACTGCTTTTTGAAGTATATGTTCCGTTCAACAGCTAAAACCTTATGAAACAAAGACAGTAACATGATGCTAGACCCTGAAAGGGCAGAAGCTAGAATCTAACTCTCATGCTGTTTTTGGTCCACAGGATGGGAAGGAGGACCGATCAAGGGCTGCTCTCCCTCATCCACATTCCCACCAGGAAGCTTAGAGGAACCCACGCATGCCACCTGGACCCCCTGGAAGGACCTGGCTAAGGCTAGACCATCTCTTGAGAGGCAAGAGCTCCAGATTTGATTAAGAATTCTTGGCTGGGCGTGGTGCCTCATGCCTGTAATCTCAACACTTTGAGAGGCCAAAGTGGGAGGATCGCTTGAGCCGAGGAGTTCAAGACCAGCCTGGGCAATAGAGGGTGACCCCCATCTCAAAAAAAAAAAAAAAAAAGTAATATAATAAAAAATTAGCAGGGCATGGTGGCATGTGCCTGTAGTCCCAGCTACCCAAGAGGCTGAGGCAAGAGGATGGCTGATGCCTGGGAAGTCAAGGCCGCAATGAACTATGATCACCCCACTGCACTCCAGCCTGGGCGACAGAATGAGACCCTGTCTCAAAAAAAAAAAGAAAAAAAAAAAATTCTTATTTTGGAGCATAAAGAAACCTCTGGATTTGAGGAGCCGTTTGGGTAGAAAGCAAAGACCCTGACACTGAGAAACAGTCTGACCTGAAGGAGCAGAGGGATGCAATCCTGGAGGTGATCTACAGTCGGAGAAGACTCATCATGCCAGACCTCGTCCTTCTTCCTTGCAGAAAATGTTTCCTCTGCTGCTACTGCTCATGAGACTCTTCCCCCACCCCATCCCAGGCAACCAAAGGGCTTTCTGCTACACCCTTTCTTGCCCCCTGCCTCCCACGTCTGCTGTGCCTTTGTACTTAGCAATTCTTCTTGTTTGCTCCATTATCTTCCAGCCGGATACAGAGTGAATAGTTAACCACACTTAGGTCAAATGGGATCTTAATCTTTGTTCCTGCTCCATCTAAAGAGGCTGGTGTTCTGTGCATTGCAAGCAGGCTTGGAATAGTGCCTCTTCTCATTTGTTTGGTATCTGGCCACCAGGTTCCAGAATGATACACAGATCAGTGGGAAAGTTCATCAGACTCTCAGACCTTAGGGCTGTTGGAGATGGCTTCAGCAGGGGAATGGATGGAGAAGGCTAGTGTTCTCTGTCCTCAGCTTTCTTTGCTTGGATCACATACAAGTGTACATTTGGAAGGGCAAAAAGTGAACAGTGTTGTTCACTGCAGCCATCTTCTGTGACACAGATGTACAGTCTGCTGTGAAGACCTTCTCTCAAGTGGCAGATGGGGGTCCATGCCAGATCATGATGCTTCATGACAGACTAACCAGCTACCAAGGGTGGTGGCGCTTAGTGAGGACCCTCCTCCCCAGTGTGTGCTGATGACACATACGTACCTGACAATAGCTTGAGTCTTCTCTGTTCCTTTTATTCTGTAGCCAACGTACGCATGATTTAAAACACTTCCTAAATATAAGTGATGGTTCACCCTAGTCCAGATGCAGAGTCAAAGCTGTTTGTACTTTATTATTATCTCCAAGGGGAATAGATGGCTTGCTTTTTGCAAAAAGAATTAAAGCTTTTGTATATTGCGGTTGATGTGCTTGTACAACCATTGAGCGACGTCAATTTCTTCTAAGTAGAGCAATGGGGTGCTTGCGGACCTCTCAGACTCATCACAAAATGATTGAGGAGAATGTCTTGGATATGTTTAGAGCTATTGAAATTTACAGACTGTTGATGGGCTTTCACCTTCTTTCCTTCCTTGATGCACAGCTACAGGCAATGTATTCCTTGGATTCCTAGAGGTGTCAAGGGACAGAGATCATAAATGCTGGTTTATTCCAAAGTCGCAGTGATAGTAAGGTAGACAGGAAACAGTCCCAGCCACTGCCTTGCTAAGCCTTTTCAAAAAGCCCAAGGTTATTCAGCAGACACAGTAGCACTAGTTGAGTTCCCAGGGTAACAAGAGCAATCACATATGGTCACCTTGGTCCTCTGTTCAGTAGCAGGGTTCGCTGCCCATGACTCTAGGACTCTGTTGTTTTGATGAGCTGAGGGTGACCAACTGTCCCAGTTTTCCCAGAACTAAAGGGTTTCTTGGGATGAAGGACATTCAGTGCTAAACCTGGGACAGTCCTGGGCAAACGGGGACCACTGGTCACCCTCCTGGGTGACTCAAGGACCCAGCGTCTACTTTGCTACTTATCTAACGGACTGATGCTGTTGATTGGTTTAGCCAATCTGCATTTAGAGCTCCTGCATCTGGTTACTTCTTTGGCCCTCGGACAACCACAGACAGATGCCATTGGATCAGGCACCAATGCCAACCAAATCCATTGTTTCCAGGATAGTAGGGTTATGTGAAGAACCAGCTGAGACCACATCTTTCTGAATGTTGTGGATGGTGGGCATGGCAGGGCTTCAACATATCAGGGATTCCTCTCCAGTACAACCTTACTTATAAAGGAAAAAATAACTTTCTCGTGAAAAATGAAACAGTTCATTAGGAAACAAAATGAATACAGCCACTGGGAACTGAGGAAGATAGACTGTAATGTGTGTGCAAGCATACAGACACACACACACACACACATACACATGCTCTCTGTAAAATAATGAGCCAAGACTCCAAATCTGCATCTTTGCTAGACAGAGATAAAGAACTAAAATCTTTGGGATGGTGTTGTCTGGGGAGCAAAGGAGTTGGCTAAAGGACTTCCTGAAATTCCTTTGAACTCTAGAATCTTTTAAAATATCAAGGGTGTGTAAACTGGGGCTAAGTATGTACATTCTCTCTAAAGTCTCCTAGATAACCTTTGAGTTCAACTCAGTGTGGAGTGGGGCCTCCCAGGTTATACTTACCTTTCTAGACACTGACTTTATCTGGGATGAGGGGGCAGAACTTGGAGGTGCTGGTCGCGGGGGCTGGGAGTGGATGAAGGGAGCGTCGCATCAGCCCAATTTTTTTTGGTCTTCATAACAAGTAAGAACAACTTGAAGGCAAATTACAGGTTCTTTCGCAGGCTAGAAAAAGCCAGGTTTTCAGGATCGTGTGGCATCCTGAAGTTGTTGCTGCTTGTCAGGGTATCTGGTCTCCATCTTTTCTGCTGAAAGACAGGCGTGAGTGTTTGCAGTGCCGGAATAGGGGCCTTCAGATAATTTCCTTCATCTGGCGTGGCAAGGCCGCAGGGAGGGAATTACACGCTAGGGTAGGGATGAACATGCACACCTACCATGTACCTTGGTGTTTGCCCCCGTTAGCGATTCTCACTCACTACCATTGGAGAGATGTGTGGTGCCATTTTCCTTTTTTAAAAGATGAATGCATTTTAGATGATCCTTTCATTTACGTTCCACTTTCATTCTTTGGTTTCAAAAGAAGTCCTGATCTTATGTCAAAGGCAACAATCCTCTTTCCCTCTCCCCGCACCCTCTCTCTCTCTAGCTCACTCTGCCACCCAGGCTGGAGTGCAGTGGCACCATCTCACCATTTTTTGTAGAGACAGGGTCTCACCGTCTTGCCCAGCCTGATCTTGAACTCCTGGGCTCAGGCAATCCTCCTGCCTTGACCTCCTGAAGTATGTGAGCCAATGTGCCCGGCCCTCTCTTTTCTTATCTCCTCATCCACATGCAATCACAGAATTCGAGAGGCTGAAGTGGTCTAAAGCATCACTCTTCTCTAGATTTATCTCTGACGAATGCAGGAATCTCCTTTCAAATCTGGCAAGGGATCAGCCAGCCCAGGGGAGAGAGGACTATGAGAGAGGCTGAGCGATGCCCAGCCTGATGGGGAAGTCAGATGAGTTTTAAAGAGTGTTTTATGCACTGTCAAGTGGCCACCAATGTCAATTTCTTAATGAGATTTTGTGCTAAATGCATTTTGCCCTCTCCCCATATCTCTGTCTCCTATTTCTGGATCCAGGTAGTTATGTTTATGCTGGTTAAAAAAAGAAAATACAGTGCAGGGAGGCAGAGAGATCTAAGTTTTTGTCTCAGAAAGTCCCTCATCATCTTAATTCCTTCCATATAAAATGAGGGGTTTGGGCCACACCCCTGGAGCCTCTTCTATTAATAGTTCTGACATTCGTGATGCTGGCATATTTGATGGATAAGCTATCAGCCTTCTAGGAATCTATGTCTTAAAGATTTGCTCCGGTTTTAGGTCTCATGTGAGAATAGCGCAGTAGACATTGTCCAAGGTCCAATATAAAGTGATTTCGTCTTGCCTTAATTTCGTTATGAGCATAACTTAATTTCAAATTAGTTCCCCGCCGCCACCCACCCGACCCCAATTTTGTTCAGCCTTGCCTGTGAGGTTTTCCCTGGCATTGGAACTTGATCCACAGGAGAATTTTGATCCTCTTCAAACGGCCCTGGAAACCCATGTGGGAATATATTAGTCATGTTGACAAGAGAGAGGCGGTTCTTGCGGTGAAACAGTTCCCTCTGCTTAGGACGCTCCAGTTTAAAGGATTTCAGGGTGACCTTGGAAGTGGCCACTGACCTTGGGTAAGACCCTTATATGCCAGGCTGGTGGAGAACAGGTGAAGGGAGACCTGGAGACAGCCCTGAATTTGAGGGGTCTGGACACCTGGATACTGACCCTGCCCTTGCTTCAACTAAGTCCGGATCACATGTAAGTCAATCCAGGCCTTTTTCTGGGTCTTAGTTTTCTCATCTGTAAAAGGGGCAAAGAAGGGATAGGGGTTGGTCTTGATGATCCTCTGAGGTTCCTGCCATGCCTCAACTTGTCAGCCTTTCCTGGCCCCGCTGGTTCCTGACAAGGAGTAGCCCTTTCTCCCTTTGGCTGTCCAAGTCAAAAACACGGCTGTCCGGGAAGTCCATTACCAAAGAATACTTCAAAGCTGTTTGCACACATTGTCAGTTGCACTGAACATGAGTTTGTTGAGGGAGAAGGTAAATAGACATACAGGCTGATGACAGGAAGGGGTGGAAGGGGGACCGCTATTTACCCCCAGGGTGGTTGGGAGGGAAATAAAAAAGAAACCCTGCCTGCCGTTTTGACCAATAAATAAAAACTGGGAGCTCTGCGTGGCTAAAACTGTAGGGGATTTATTAGTTTGCTTAGTGAAAGGCAAATATTGAGTCTTAAGTTGACCCGTCCTGGGACCTGCCTTTTGGCTTTTGTATGCTGTGTGGCGCCGATCACTAGGCCCTGGGGTTATCGAGTTTTGTTAGTTTTTAAAAAAATTGTTTTCCGTCTCCGTCTTTTCTTCCTCTTTCACCTGCCCCTTCCCAGTGTGTCCCGCCTTTTTTGGTAACTTATATCTGGGTTTTGGAGGGGTGAGAAGAGCAAGGGTGGAAAACAGATCCTGCTCGTAGAACTCTCTCTGGCCGGGGCTCTGGCCAGCCTGGGGATTGCGGGAGCCCGGGATGTGGTGGCTCAGGGGAGTGAGCCCTACAGATGGTCCTCATGGGTCCCTTCCATCCTCTGTCCTGGACTCGTATTGTTAGGTCCCAGGTGTCAAGCAAAGGCCTTGTCCCTCATGAAAATGAGCATAATGACAAGCACTGGAAAGTAACAGAGTACGGCTATTTCTAAGTTTTAACCTTCCTATCCCAGTGAGTCTCCATACCCACCCATGGTAGATGATTTCAGCCTAAAAGAGGAACTGCTCAGGGTGGGGCCGTGCCCGTTAGGGTCTGACTGGGGCTTGCCACTCACCATGGAGTGAAATACTGGCACAAGAGGGCTTGGATGGTCACCGAGTCTATTCAGTTTTCAAGTAGGAGCTGCAGTGAAACGAAACTAGATGTAGCATTGTTTATCCTTGGCTTCAAACATCCCCAGCACAATCCAGGCTGTTCTAAAGCCCTGCAGTTTGTGGGTGCTAAGGTCTCATGGGTGGTGCTTGCTAACAGCCACCACTGTTGGGTACAGCACAGCAGGACACACTCCTCCATGCCAGACCCTTAAGTGCCCGTTTCCTGGTCCACCCTAGTGACTGTTCAGGATGTATCTTACTCATCCACCTGGGCACTACGGCTTCCCACTCACCACCCACGTTCTAGAACGGCTTTCTTCAGAAAGTTTCTTGGTTTCTTGCACATTCCAGTCATGAGTTTTCCTTTTTCGAGACAGGGTCTCACTATGTTGCCCAGGCTGGTGTTGAACTCCTTCACTCAAGCAGTCCTCCCACCTCAGCCTCCCAAAGTGGGATTACAGGTGTGAGCCACCATGCCTAGCCCACAAATGGTTTTTGATTGAATTCACCATGATCGTTAATCCTTTGGCAATTCTTCAAAGAAGAGTCTACTTTTTAAAGGATAGACATTGGGCACCCAGTCTACTGAAGTCCTATGAATGCTTTGAGGCTCATCTCAAATGCTTCCTTCTCTCAGAAGCCTTCCTGGATTTCTCCTTCCCTCTCAGCCAGTTGTGACCTCTCCCTCAAATATTCTAACATCTTATAGGTAACTCAAAAAAATGTTAACATTCCTTTCTTGACCACAGCACTTTAGTGTCTCATTTACTGTGCTTATAATGGACTTCTTTTGGCACCCTCTTCTCTCCCAACTCTCTTTTTCTCTCTTTTATAAGAACAGGAACTGAGTCATTCCTTACTCATTGAA